AATATGTTAATTGTTTTTTTTTTTTTTTTTCTTTTTTTTTTCCTTCCCCCTGGAGATTCCCAGACTTGGTCAGGAAGTGGGGCTGCAGACAGGACACTGCTCTGGCTGCCCTGGCCCAGCTCGGTCTGCACGTTACGTGGACTACCAATGTGTACAGGGAGAGACTGGAGCATGTGGCCCTCACCTCTTCCTGCTGAGCTAATAGGGCCTGAATGGGATGCCCTGTTACAAAAATGCACTAATGTCTTTAAGCAAAGGCTTCGTATTTCCAGCAGTTCTGCCGTTCAGGAGTCGAACGCATTTGTCAGTGTTCTTCCTGTTGAACTATTACCATCTTTGGCAGGTGGGGCGGTAGTTGTTCAGTCTTCTTGTAGGGTGTTCAGTATTTAAATACCATTTCAGAACACTGATTAATAAAATACTTGGTATTCTTCAGTAAAGACAGATGGTAAAAACTGGCAGTGCATGCTGATGAAGAATCTCTTGAGTGAACTTGGGTTTTGAGAAAGTAATGGCAACTCTGCTTTCCATGTAGTAAGTCTTAACTTCTTGTTGATGTTCTCCATGGGCTTTGACTGCTTGTGCCCTGCGCGTGGTCGTGGAGTCCCAGAAATCTGTATCAGTGCAGATTAATGCCAATTTGCCATCTTAGCTTTGAAGTGTTACTGCCTGGTCTGTAAGCAAATTTTATGACGTACCCCTTTCCCAGCACAAGTCTCACTTCCTAAGTTAGGTCAGTCTAGACAAAAAATGAAATGTCAGTCTTTTATGAAGAATTGATTCTGCCTTCTTGCAGGGGGAACTTAATTGAATGTAATTCACTTTAATGCCCAAGTAAGTCCTGCTGTGTTTTCCAATGGAAGATGAAACAATAACAAGTAATTCATCTATCTCAATCTCATTATTTATGAAAAATGCATGGACTGAATTCTATTGCCACTTTCTGGCTCTGTTTTTGATCATTACCACCTAACAACAAGTTTGACACAATTGGAGAAAAATCTCTCAATAATGGGATTTTTCCACAAAAAAAAGAGAGGCATTTAATGCAGGGTTAAAATAGACAGCAACCAGGGAATTTAGTTGCTCTTACTAAAGCGTGGAATAGAGAACTCTTCTGTTTTAATAAGGGCCCTTTATTTTGAAGAAGTTTGAAAACCTGTAATGGCTCAAAAAGGAAAATTGGAACATTTTATTAAAATTCTGAATAGTAAGCCTAGAATTAGTAATAATTTTTTTTCTGCATACAGGACTGGTGTTCGCAATGAGGTGTATTTCATCTTACCAGCAACAAAGAACAGCTGAATTCTGCATTGAGAACACATTTCCAGTAGAGTAATTCTTAATCATTGAGTCAGGACTCCCAAAGGTATTCTCAAAATGCCGTGTGATCACAGCAGCCTTTTTATCTGGAAGTGGAACACTTGATTTTATCCCAGTCTTACGAACTACATTGAAGATACTGCTTCTCAGCAAGTCTCCAGAATTTATGTTCTCCAGCACTTTTCCCATATGGGATTCAGAGTAAATTAATATTTCTTTTCTCACAGCACTGACAAAGCGGAATCAAAGATGCCTGTATTTTTATATTTAAGACTTATTTAAAATGTGACTATTTCTGATGATTTAAAATCATAAAAGAACTATAAGCTTGGTGAAATGAAATGTGGGATCATAATGGAGCAGAGGATGACTTGGATGATTAAGGATTTTAGTTACTAAAATCAAGAACTTTAAATTTAGCCCCCTTCAACTTTAAATAAAGTCAGCTGATGGAAATGTGACTGCAGAGTGCTGCCAATTGAAGTCTTTTTAAAAATGGGTTGTAAAGTTCCAGTAACTTGCTGTATGTTTGAGTGCAGGTGCCATCTGCTGGGAGCTTAATAAGTAGCAGTTTTGTACTGAAGATACTAAATATTACTATCTCAGACTGTGTCTCAAAAATAGTCTCATTAACTTAATAGATGTCATAAATGTATTTTTTTCTCATTGGATGTATTATGGCAGTATCAAGACTCAGCTGTATGATATCAGACCCTTTCTGTAAGGCACAAGATCTAGTGAGTTACTTGGCATGTGGACACGTGTCACGCAAGAGATATAACCAGGACTGAAAACTGAGCACAGGATGATACAGGAATTGAGCTTGAATTCTGGTAAGTAATGGGCAAGACCTTAATGATTAAAGCTAGAAATCATGATTTTCCTGAATGTAAGAAAAAGCGTATGGATTCTGAAGAAAAAAACAAAAATTGTAACTCGATCTCAAATGAGGAAGACAGTGGAAAAACCAAGGGTTTTATAAGAAAGCATTTATGTAAATTGACTAATTTTGCGGGACAGTTAGCTAATACAAAATACTGATGCTGTAGGATTTTTTTTAATATATATATTGTTTTTCAGTATTACTATGTTGATAGTAAAGGTTTGTCAAGTAATTTAGTGTATGTTGGGGCAAGTTAAAGAGATCTGTAATTTTACTGTAGCCTTCAGTCAAAGAAGGTTAACTCAAGGAGAGTTTGTTAATGGCAGAAGAGTACAAAGTTACTCTGCTGCCAAAACTTGCTACCATGTGACAGCTTTGGGTAAGCATTTAACTCTTACTGACATATCAAAGTGGGGGAGAATAGAAGCTGAAGTTTCTCCCCAAGTATAATTCAGTGCCTACAGTTGTCACTGATGGAAGCTGGCTGTCACTGAAAGTAGAAATACTCTACCTCTAAAGGCTGATTCTACAATATTTTTAAACTTGTCATTGCCCATTTTCATCTGATCTGTAAACACTGTGTTTGTCAAACACAAAGATCAGATTCTTTCCGAAGTTGGAAGTGTTCAGAGAGATGGAAAGATACCCAGCTTATAAGTGTGAGGAAGAGAATTCCTCTAAAATAGTCCAGCTTTGAAAGGCTCAATAACTTTGCTCTTGTTTTCAATTAGACCAATATTTTAAAGAAAAACAAAACACCACAACTTTTATACAGCACTTCTTTTATTTATAAGAGTTTTAGTTACAAAAAAGTAGATAAAAAAAATCCCTGAAGCAAGAATTGTTGGTAAAGATTAAAACAGGAGCTTGTGTGAAAACAGCTGAGCAAATTCCAATAGTGACATATTTTAATATTATTTCTTCCATCTGCGTAGCATTAAAAATTATTTCAGGAGTAATGCTTGCTTTCAGTCATCCACGGCAAGTGATGCAAATCTATTAACATTGCATACACGCTGAGCTTGTGGTATAGCACACCGGGTGGTCTTTTTTTTCTTAGTTGATGCTTTCTTCTTTTTACAGGAGGCAGGTTTCTGAAAGAATTCTGGAGATACAGTCGATGTTACCGTATTTAACAAAACCTGATAAAGCAGAGTCATTTTTGGAGATGAACTAAACAGATTTTCCACTGAAGGTGTTGATTTAAGCTCTTGGTACAGTCTGTGCACGAGGGTCCCACTGTAAAGCCTGCTCAAAGGAAGGAGAGAATCCTCATTTAGAATCACACCTCAGCAGGACAGGTACAAAAACATGCTGCTCAGTGAAAAAAAATGGTCTTAACTACATACAGGATCCAACAGTGGACCCCTAAGGGATACTTACATGACTCTGTATTCGTCTTCATATTGTCTCTGAAGAACTTGGCCAATTTTACCACATCATCAAATGTAGTAAAATTGGCCAAAGGGGTTTGACACAGAAAGTGAAACCCATAAACACATTTCATCAGGGGCTTGTGTGTAAAGCAGATCTCTGAAACATCCTTACCTACTTAGGTCTGGCTCAGAGAGAGGAGTGCAGAGTAGCTGGTTGAGATACAATCCCATCTGAAGACAGCACTGCCACTGGCAAAAACTGTGTGCAGCATCTAAATCAAAGTCTTTATTGTGCAGTTTCTTTTCTTTCCACTTTAGAAATTCATTATATGCAATAGTGTCATCTTCAGCACGTACAGCTGTGGGATCTAGGTTACAAGTAAAAAACGACATGCAAATAAATGTTCTGCTGTGAATAGTACAAAAGTTATCTGCAATGTGTAGGGTCTTCAATCCTCCAGTTCAATTTCATGTTTTCAAATGTCTCAGGCTGAACTTTAAGATACAAAACTGCGTAAAAATTCAAATATGAATATCCATGAGAATCTGAAATTGTGAAATCAGGAATTCTATTTGTTAAGTAATTTGCTACGCTGTTCTGTGAGTGGATCAATTCCAAACAAGATTCCCATCTGACTCCCACCCATTTGGGAAGCAGGTGGCAACCACGTCAGTCCAATTCCTATAAACTAGAACCTAAAAAAATCTTATAAGTCTTTGCCATCAAATGAAGGACTCCTAGAGTAAATGCCACCATAACTAACAGATAAGTATAAATATTACTGAAACAATTTCTGTGGTAACTTAGTACTTCCAAATTCTTGCAATGCACAGGCAGATACAAGGTGCCTGTGCAACTTGGCATTTTTAAGTACAGGTGACTTTAGAAAAACTCACAAAAAAAAAAATACTCTATTGGAATACAACAATAGTAGTTATTATCTTTTGATGCACAAATGTGTTAAGCTTATTTTTTTGTTAACTTTAATATCTAAAGTTATCTTTTAGTCCTAAAGAAAGCATTTATAAATGCAAATTAACATTTTACAAGATGGCATTTTACTGTTTTATCTATATAAAATGCTAGCACTGTTTCTCTGCTCTGTATCAGTGCAAAGAATGACACCTCAGGAGTAAATCAATATAGTATAAATCAATGTTAATTCATCTGAATTTGGACAACCCACCATAAATGAGGAAAAATGAATTATGGTATAGATTTTCTTAGCAGCTGAACACCTAAAACTTTCATCTTTGGAGACATACCTGGATCGTTTGTTATCCTGTGAAGTTCTCCAGATACTATCATTAGAAGTAAAGCCTTTAATTGAGGCAACTTAACTTTTGGTTCTGAACAACATATCCAGTGACATGTTACAGCAACGGGCAGTTGTAAGTGGCTGGGGATAGATTCTAGTAAACTCATTTTCACTCCTAGGGTCTCCAGCAAAAGCGTCTGTCGGCATGACGTGGGCACCTGATAATAAATTTAAAAATTGGAGTAGAAAAATAAAGGTAAGAAACTTTATTTGCCTTTTGGAAATTGCTCATAACAAATAAGCTTGTGTTTAAGCTAGTTAGTACTTCAAGTTTTGGATAAATTATTTAAGTTTCACAGATATTCTGAACAGGAAGTATTTTAAAATACTACATAAGCATTAAGAACTACACGGTTAAATGTTAGGCAGAAGGATAAATGTCACTTCTCTACAACTGCCTGAGATTATTAAGAGGTTTTAGAGTCATCTTCAAATCAGGTGACTTAAACTCCTACGTAAAAGTTAACTTGGTTGGGAAATTTGTAACCATAATGCATTAAAATTACTTCGGTATGGCAAATATCTATCTATAAAAAAAAACAACTTAATTTTGAGCCTCTAAAAGTTATACTTGCTTTGTGAGATATAAGGATGATGTCTGTTCTTGATATGTTGAAAACCTGCTTACCTGTAATCACAACAAAATCTTAAGTGTGCAGCTTGTATTTTTCACCTGCAATGTATCAATTCCTAGCACATTCCCTCTTTGTTGTGCTATTTAACTTCTAAAAAGTGGTGTTTTAAACTCTGTCCATAAATTTCATGCATGCAGCAGTATCACAGCAGTGATTTGAGAACCTTGATTAGGATGATTTTGCCTATTCTTAAGTAGACATCCTCACAGTAGAAAATAAACTGAAATCAGTTTTACCTGATCACTTTAAATGCAGAATGATCTTTCTTTTTCTAAACTTCTGTTGAATGGATAATTTCCATATATTTAGTAAAGAGATTTGTTATAATAGCAGGAGCTCAAATGCATTAAACAAACAGCATACATACCAACATCAAATGAAGGTGTTACTAATGTCTCTCAAAACCCCCAAATGTAATTTTTCAAACTCTTAAGTGTTTGCATATTCCTCACTTAAAAGGCCTGTAACAATAACTGGTGTAAAATAACCTGTATGTAAGCCTTTGGAACCTTAGCTATCTATAGTATTTAATTGTCATAGTAGTGATTAGTAGACTTGATTCTTACGTGAAATAGCCACCAGCAGTGATTAAAACAGAGAGAGATGTGATAACAGTTTATCTAAATGCCAGAATTGATAGAGCATGTGGTATTGAAAGACACTGATTGTATTTCCAGATGTTTCAGAAATCACTGCATACAAAACCTCAGTTTTGCAACTTTGGGAATGGGGATTACTTTCCATTCACAGCAAGAATTACAGTCCTAAATAGTTAGAATTTAAAAATACAGAATTGCTGATGGTAACTAGAACTAACCTAGTACAACTTTCCTTTGATTAAAAGCTGTTTTTCAGGCGCTGTTCTGTCTGGCAAGCAGCTGGGGTACACGTTAGCAGGATACATACTTGTGGCAGGTAAAACTGCTGGGCAGCTGCAAGATTCATATATAAAGTAATAGTGATTTTTAGTAAAAAAAGGTGTCAGACTTTGTTTCAGAACATTGCTCCAAAACATCTATAGCTTGATCACATATGAAGTTTTGTAGTGTTAAATTGCACTTCTCTAAGTTTCATGAAGCTGAGTTCCTATAATTATAAAAGCAAATATTAGTGTTAACAGAATACATAGGATGAAAGAACGGCTTAGAATAGAAAATTTAGGCAATACTACATACACACACAACCAACTTTTCATGTAATTTGTCTTGGGACACTTTGCCTACAAAGGGAAGGGGAAGGGCAGGAAGGGAAGAAGGTGGTGGTAATCTGTGTAGCCTCTCAAGTATCACAGGCTAAACTAGGAGCCCTGTACTTCTATATTAAGTAGTTACTTACTCTGAGATGGCTTAGTTCAGGCATCACATACAGTGACCAGCTGGAAAACGTGAATCCCAAATATTTTTTTTGGTCACTTGTGAAACACTGTTAACCGTGATCGGTTGTGACAACCATTTACCTCAATTAACTTGTCCAAAGGAAAATGATCATCACAAAAATCTGGGGGTAGGCTTGCTGCTTGAACAAATGTTTTTTTAAGTGTCTTTTGGAGTCTGTCAAATTCACATACAACTGGCAGCTCGCTGGTCTGCTTACTTGGAGAAGCAGCTTCAGTATTTTGAGATACTTTCAGAAGTAGTCCATAGATAACTTGTCGGATGGGCAAAGCTGTGCTGTGTGCGCTAGGTCTCTGCATGTTCTCCACCTGAACGTGGAGGAAGGTGCTTCTTAGTATGAGGGCATCGCTGATGAACGGGGCCAGCTTACCTTTTGCCAAAGCATCGAGCACCCACTGGGGTAGGTCTGCTTTCCTGGCTGCCTCGCATTCGTACCTCCCGTTCTGAAAAAAGTCCTCCAGACCAACGTCAGACGGAGTATAATCCTCCATTGAAGTGCACAGAAGCTCCCTTATTTCTTCTCGCTGGTGTTTCCTCAGGTACTTCAGCAGGCTGTCGACGGCCTCGGCGGGCCCGGCGAACTGCGCCAGCCAGCGCAGCAGCCCCTGGAGGCGGGCGTGCTTCCCCCCCTTCCCCGCCCCGCAGCCCCCCGGCAGCCGCACCTTGCTGAAGAACACCTCCAGGGCTGCCAGGTCGATGTAGTCGTTCCCCTTCACGACGGCGAAGAGAGGGAGCAGCCTTTTGTTGAGGAGGCCGAAGTGCCCGCAGAACCTCTCCAAGGAGAAGCAGCGAGCGGGAATGTAACAGCCCGCCGCCCCCTCGCCCGGGCGGACGCTCCGCCACTGGAAATGGCTGAGGGGACAGTAACCGGCCGCCAGGTCGAAGACGCAGAAGTCGCTGTCGAGGGAGAGGACGGGGCAGCCCCAGCGGTTGGCCAGGCCGGCGATCTCCCGGTCGGCCTCGGCGAAACACTGCAGGAAGGGGACTCCCAACCGGCCCAGGGCCTGCACGAAGGCCTCGCGGGTCAGCAGCGGCACCAGGCACCCCCCTTCGCCGCGGGAGAGCCCGTGGGCTGCCCGCAGCCGCTCGGCGGCTCGTCCCTTCAGCGTGGGCAGCTTCCTGTCGTCGGCTCCGCGCCCGCCGTCCAGCAGCACGAAGGGGGCGACGCGACAGGCCCGCAGGCTGCCGAAAAACTCGCCCACCGCCGCCGCCAAGGGGCCGTAGTCGCCGCCGCGGCGGAAGTCGGCGGCGGAGGCGAAGCACAGCTGGTGGTAGAGGCTGCTCCCGTCGATGACCAGCTTGGTGTCCCTCACCCGCAGCTCGGTGAAGAACGACCCGTGCTCCTCCACGAAGCTGCTCACCCCCGGGACGCCCATAGTGGCGGCGGCGGCGCCCCCCCCTCCTTCCTACTCCTCCCCCTCCTCCCCCGGGCGGAAGTAGCGCTAGGAGTGACAGGCAGCGTCCTCCAATCAGAGCTCTCCCTCTTCCCGCCCACTGGCTCTCGGTGCGCGTGCACGGCCCGTCTCCTGGCGACGGTTGGGCTCCTCAGGTCGGGCGAGGTAGGAGCTGTGGCCGCTTCCTCACAGAACCTCACGGAATCTTCATGGTTGGAAGGGACCTTTTGAGTTCTCTTTCGCTCTTCCGCCTCAGGCCGTCCCGAGGGGAGCCGAGGGATCCGGAGGGGCTGCAGTCCCCGCCCTTGGGGGGCTGTAAGAGTGGGGGCCGGGCGCTGGAGGGGCAGAAATGGTGGGGAGGTCCCGGTGGGGCCAGAGGGGTCCCGGGGAGCACCGCCTTCTCCGGAGGGGTGAGGAAGGGGGAACGGGTGGCGGCCTGCCGCCCTCGCCCCTCAGTGTGAGCCTAGCTCGAAGGGAAGAGAGGAGACTTCATACCTCTGTGTGTCCCCAGGCCCTCGGAGTGTAAATTTTGGGTGTTACTCGGCCTACTAGAAAGTAGTAACATCTCTGATGTTATGCTAGGGGCATGTGCGTCAGGCAGATACTAGCCTCTTTGATAATCAACTACATTTGACCTTGTTTTACCATCACCTGTAGGCTCCTTTGCCACCAACATTACTAATAAAATCTTTCTTAGTTATCCTTTCTCTGGGAGCAGTAAAAAACAGAGTCAACTGAGATGATGTTACTTTAGGCTTGGCTAGGTTTATAAAGGTATTGCAGGAAATAACAATGGAGCTGGTGTTAAGGAGTTCATTTTTTTAAATGAAGGGGGGAAAAACAGGAATACCTAATTTTTCTATTTTCCAAAAGTTTAAAGAGGTAGGCCAGTGAAGTCATTGGCAGGAAAAAAATCAAGGTAGTAAATACTGAGGATATTTGGAGTTTAAAAATAAAAATTCTGAAATTTGTGGTGGGGAGCAAGGGGTGGGGAGTGGGGGTGGCAAATAGCCAGCGTAGCACAGGGGTTCTTAAGGAATAATAAAAAAAAACCTGATAGAATTGGAAAATGGCCTTGATTGGCAAAGAGACATTTGTTCTGGAGGCAGAAAGCATCAGAGTATGCTAGCCATTGCTAGCCAGAACCTGAAGGTTACATGAAGGAAATGAAAAACAGTATCTTACTTATGTAAGCAAAAGAAGGTCAGGGGAAGAAGTGGAGGTGTTGTGCACTTAGTATGTGTGGGTGAAATCCTAAACAACAACTTTGTTTTGGCTTACAACAATAAAGAGGAAGGAGATTTAACTCCAGCCAAGGAAGACAGAAAAATAAAAATGTGATCCAGACAATGTTATTGCGATGATTTGGCATCAGCAGTCTGCCAGGGTCTAGAGTGGGGTTTGGAGGAGAGGCTAGGAAGAAACCTAAGAGCATAAGCGTTTTACCAGAGTGTTACTGGATAAGGGTGTATTGGGTTTTTTGAGGAAAAGGGAGCTGGAGAGTTGATTTGTTTGAGTTATCTGTAGTTGTTCTGACCTTCAATGAAGCAATTGATGTACTGCTGCTTGGGGAATACTTGCTCAGTGGGAGAAGATGGGCACTGGTCAAAAGTTGAAGAAAGGCTGGGCTAAAGGTTTGAATGAGGTAGTTGCCAGTAGAATGCCAGTTCATATACTTCTCAAAGAATCAGTCAGCGTGTGGTTGAGTCTATTGACTCTCACAAGGTATTTCTTTCCAAATGCAGTGGCTCAGCAGTCCCTCTGTTCTGTGCTGTTTAAATGTGCCTGTGACACCACAACTGCAGTCACTGGTCCCTGCCTAGTTACACTACTTAGCAGTAGATATCAAAGCATTTAATATATGATAGTTATTACCGTCGTTATCTACAGGGGGAAGTAGAAGCATAGAGAGTAGCAGTGAGAGGCAGGGTTGGAAGGAAAGCACAACAATTAGACTCAATGGGCTACTTGATCCCAAGTGTGATATTGTGGTGTAAAGGATTGTGAATTCTTCCTAGGGCTCAGGTAAGTATCAAAATATGAAGGTGAGCAGTGTTAAGTGACTCTTCTCCAGAAAAAAGGAATAGATACCTCAGCTGTTTTTTCTAAGTTTAGTTATTTCTAAAGGGTATATATCTCAAAACTATTCTTTTGGGGATTTATGAAGGCATCCATAAACCAGTATCTTTCTAGGAGAATAGTAAATTAAAAATATGTAAACTTTCCAAAACTGGCGATGTGCTATTTTAGGAGTTCATCTTCCTGCCCTCCTCCCTGTCCCTCACCTCAAGGTGGTCCGTTTATGTTTCTTCAGACAGATGTGGAGTTATAAAAGAAGTAATTTTGTAGCTGACATTCTTTGCTTAACATTTACATTTCAAAATTTTTGTCGCTTGTTATCTGAAGGAGAGTACAGAAACAGAATCTCAGGAGTGCTTTTGTTTGAAACAAATACATGATTTGTATCGTCGTTAAGATGGCTTGTAGTAATTAAAATTTGGCTGTTTCGCAATATAGTGACACTGCAATGTCATGCTCTCTGGCACAGTGTGACAGCAGCACAACAGATGGGTATTAAAATAGGTTCCTACACACAGAGAGTTGTTGTAAGATACAAATTTATTATCTTCATTTAGGGTCTACAAAAACAGCGACTTGGAACCAGCAGTTATATAGCTTTTAAAATTAAGCAATTTGTCTTTTCCAAAACAACAAAAAACCCATTTTGGTGTGCTTGCATTGATGTTAAAATGCTACGGTGAGCAAACCCAGTGCGTGCACACTGCACTGCTGCAGGCAGTGCTGATAGATAGATAGTATTAGTTGCACTGATTGTAGCATCTTGCAACATCTTTATTTGCTCCAAAGGATCTTCAAGTACAAATGATGCAGGTAGCATTTTATTATGTGCAGTGAAACACCTACCCTTTATCATTTGGAATGAGGAAGGTAGAGGGGACAAAGTTATTCTAAATTCATGTTTGGTTATTGAAAAACATAGAAATGCTAGAGGTTTGCCTTTGCAGTCCCTACGTTTGCAGAATTAGGACTTCAATTAGATAGAATTCCAAAGCAAAGCTAAATTGTTTGAAAGGTAGTTCAAGAAACTATTATTACAGCAAAGGAGAAATTAAGAACTTTTAGAAGAAGTGGGTTTTATTGAATGTCTTGTAGGCTTGTGGATAACTAGGAAACTAATTTGCAGAAGATATTATTAGTGAATCACACAGAAGGTTTGAGGTCAGCACTGAAACAGATGGTGAAATCTGAGGGGCAAATGAAAGAGCCGAGAAAACAGCTTTGTAGTTATTGATGGGAGTGAACTCCACTGATGGGTGGAGATTTTGCTTCAGTATCTACAAAAATAATGAAACTTGTATCCTGAAACAGATATTTTTGGTATTGGGTACTGCAGTGGTATAAAGGCAGCTGCTGGAGAGGAGTGCCAAAAGTGACAGAGCCCTGGAACAGGCTGCCCAGAGAGGTTGTGAGTCTCCTTCTCTGTAGGTCTTCAAAACCTGCCTGGATGCATTCCTGTCCACCCTGCTCTGGGTGAACCTGCTTTGGCAGGGGGGTTGGACTAGATGATCTCCAAAGGTCCCTTCCAACCCCTACCGTTCTGTGATAGCTATGGGAATCCTCTGGTGAGACACAGGTGTAATTGTCCTTGCAAAAAGCCCTTCAACTTTAAAATAAATTACTGTATAAGCACCTGCATTTCTTTTTCCCTGTGTTCTCTGTCCTAGTGAATTAATTTAAGGTTGATTTAGGGGAAGGCTAACTATGTCACATCCACATTAACTGGAGTTTCTTTATCAAGTCTGCTACCTACAGCTTAACAACTAATGACTCCACCTAATTTGTGTTTTCCTGCAAGCTGGGCACTATAAGCACTGTGATAGTATTAAATGAAGATTTAAATAAGAATATTACATTGAAAAATCATTTTTTTTTTTCTGTTTCAAGTGTATCCCGTGAGCATCCGTGGAAGATTAAAAGGATTTGAAAGCTACATTCCAGAGAAATTTGTGTAATTTGTGTTACACAAAGCAATGCTGAAATTTCAGGAAACTGCTAAGCGTGTCACTGTTGCCAGATTTAATTCTGCGTGCTCAGATGCTGTGATTGCAAGAAGATACACTATTCAGAGGAAACTTGGCAATGGGAGCTTTGGAAGTGTATATCTGGTTTCTGACAGAAAAGCAAAACAAGGAGAAGAATTGTAAGTAAACCTTTTCCATACCTTAAGTTAAAAAATGCTGGAGCATGTTTCTTGCATTGTAGATGTTTTCTTTGTGTTTATGTCTCATCTTTCAGTTTGGTGTTACGTTGCAACTTTAACTGTTTAACTTACTGAGGACATAGGAGCAGAGTTTATGCTGACTCAGAATTCCAACTGAATCTGTTTTTTTTTTTTAAATAGTTTATCAGATATGTCTTTCTTACTGTACTTTTATCCTTTTTAAAAATCCTTTTAAATTTACTTGTGCAAGACAGAGTGGAGGTAGGTAGAAAATCTCAGACTTTCATCTTCATAGTGATGTACACCTCTGAAGCTTTGTAACAAATAATATAAACAGTAGAAATATATGTAACTTACCTGTTCCCCAGTGCCATACCTGAGACAAGTTTCTAATGTAAGAGATACGCTGTGGAAAAGACCCTCGTATTTAATCAGAACTGAGGTAGATTTTTATCATTGTCTTGTCAAGAAGCAAGGCAAAGGTATATGCCACATTTCACACATTTATTTTTCTTCTTTGTAACAAAATTGTTTGTTAAGGGCTTAAAACTTTATAATTTATAAGGTCTTGTTTCATAATTATGTCAATATGTAATATATGTGTGTATATTGGGCTAGTGCTCTTTAACATCTTTATCAATGACCTGGATGAGGAGGTTGAGTGCACCCTCAGTAAGTTTGCAGAGGACATCAAGTTGAGTGAGAATGTTCTGTTGTGGGGTAGAAAGGCTTTGCAGAGGGATCTGGACAGGCGGGATCGATGCGATGAGGCCCAACAAGGCCAAGTACCAGGTCACTGCACTTGGGTCACAACAACCCCATGCAGCGCTACAGGCTGGGGGCAGAGTGGCTGGAGCTGCCTGGCAGAAAAGGACCTGGGGGTGTTGGTCGACTGTCGGCTGAACATGAGCCAGCAGTGTGGCCAAGAAGGTCAGCTTGGGCCTTGGGATGTGATTGTCCCTCTGTACTCGGCATTGGTGAGGCCCCACCTCAAGTACTGTGTTCAGTTGTGGGCCCCTCATCACAAAAAAGACATTGAGGTGCTGGAGCAGGAGGGGTCTGGAGAATAAGTCTTATGAGGAGAGGCTGAGGGAGCTGGGGTTGTTCAGCCTGGAGAAAAGGAGGCTGAAGGCAGACCGTATCGTTCTCTACAACTCCCTGAAATGAGGGTGTAGAGAGGCAGGGTTTGGTCTTTTCTCCCAAGTCACAGGTGATAGGAGGAGGAAATGGCCTCAAGTTGCGCATGGGGAGGTTCAGATTGGATATTAGGAAAAATATTTACACTGAAAGGGTTATAAGGCATTGGAATGGGCTGTCCGGGGAAGTGGTTTGAGGCACCATCCCTGGGGGTATTTAAAAGATGGCTAGACATAGTGCTTAGAGATATGGTCTAGTGATGGTTTTTATCAGAGTTAGGTTGATGGTTGGACTAGATGATCTTAAAGGTCCCTTCCAACCTAGAGAATTCTATGACAATGTAATTGTATAGATTATTTTTGAGGTCTTTGTGTTTTATAAATAAAGTTGGTTCTTGAAGTTCTTTCTTCAGAACACTTACTGAAGTGCTGAGCCTTACATCCCATGCTTATCCATCTTCATGAACGTGACATTTTTGTTTAAAAAATGTGTGGAAGAATAGAATCCTTAGTCTAATCAGGTCCAGGTACTGCAGTATCTACCTCTATAACGTGTCATTCAATTATACATGCCCATCAAAGCATGGAACCTTTAAAAGGAACATGAAAATGTCAGAATTTCTGAATGTATTTTAATGGACTTCCCTGTTCATTTCTGATGATTTCTTATTTAATTACTGTTCTTAAGGGTTTTTTTGATAACAATTAATTAGATGTTTCAGGAATCGGTTCTGTGTAAGGACTCAGATTGTTGGAGGGGTCTCAAAAGAAACTGTACTGTTTTAATGTCCTATCTTTTTTATAATTGAGTTGTCTGAATGAAACCTGAGAAGGTATAGTTACAGAAATTCCAGTAAACACATTTCCAGTTGCTGTATACCTAACTGATAACACTTTTTTTTCAATTGCCAGAAATCTTGATTATTTATTTTTTACCTGCTTGAATGTGGACAGGTCTCATCAGTTTGGCTGATAAACCCTTTGGGATTCTGAAGCCACACAGAGAAAAGAACATTTTCAGAGTGTTGATATTTCTGTATGTGAGTTTGAAGTTGAGTGTCTGGGTAATGCTTTCCTGGCTGGACTTCCAGTTGTGTAGAACTGTATTTGTCTATTGGTTTGATACTTACACCAAGAAAATGTGAATTTTTTTGGTTTTATCCAATAAAATTCGTGAGGCTTTTTGTTTAGAGTCTGAAACATCTAATCAGTGTGCTCTTCAGCCAGAAATACGTTATTCCTTTAAATATGGGGGTCTTTCAGTCCTTATTGACAGACACATTAATGAGCAATTATGTGATAAAAGAGCTTTTTTTGATTCATTTGTGCCTCACTTTTTGCTATTGGGACAATGTATTCTTGGCAATATTCCTTTAACAAATGTGCAGCCAAGACATAATTCTTTCACTTGTTTTCCTTCTACAACAATTTACAGCTTCTCAGCTCCCTGAATTAGGGTTAAAGGCCACCAAGCTCTTAGCATTTTCCAGCTGGTTTATAAGACTTTTGGATGTATCTTAGGCTTAGCTATGGTTTGCTACAAAAATATTCATTAATGAAAACTTTAATTAAAAGCAATAGAAAATATTTGTCATTTTATTTTTCTGTTAAAATCATATATTATGCAGATAGGGTGACAGAAACTACTTGAGTTTACAAGACTCTTCAGAATTCAGCTTTTACTAAACTCACTCTTAGAATGTTAACAGTGTAGTGAAATGTGTGTCTTCACACATTGCTGCTATGGCACAAACCGACAAACCTCAGAAGCAGAAATGTGTGCTTTCCTTTTGAGCAGTTATCTCTATTTATTGCTTTAGAATTTTACTTTGAGAACTTTGAGTAACTGTTTTGAACAAGCATTCACTGCCTGCAGCATTTCATGCCTCTGTTTTGTTAGGGATGAGGCTGATTGTGTCCTCTGCCATCCTCAGGACAGAGCCTGCGTATGAAATGGCAAATTGGTTTTGTTTGTTTGTTTATGAGTCTCTTTTTGTGACTACAACAATATTTAACCAGCCTAAGTGCTAGTGCGATACTGTAGTTCATCCTTTCATCACTAGGGGGTACTTGCGTATCACAGTTATTCTTCATTCCTTCTGAGCCTCAAATGGGGATTGAAGAGCAGATTCTGCCAACTTTCTACCACTTATCTGCTGATAGATGACAAAAATACTGGACCAGGTGAACATTAAAGCTCAAGTAGCATAAAGAGAGAGTATAGACACTTTCTTCTATTTAAAAATACTGATTTCTTAAGGTGGCAAAATATAATAGAAGTCATGTTCTCAACACTACTTTCAAATCAGAAAGTAATCTCTTACTGAACTGTACTGGTTACTAATTCTGTTGTATTTTCCATTGGAAAGTATAAATATATACTTTCAAATGAAAAAAAATTAGGTGGTTATCTTTAAAAAAAAAATAATCTTGATACAACTCTGAAAGCACTTTGGCAGAAAAAAAAGGAATTGAGATATTTAGGTCACAAATGATCTCATCAGAATTAGAAGTCTGTTATTTCAGAGATGGTATAGAACATGCTGAGACAAATGTTATATACAGTGTGAACTCAGCCACAGATAGTTTCCTGAAAATTGCTACAGTCTGAAGCACTGTAATGAGCATAGGAATAAATCATAAGAACACAAATTCCCAGGAAGTGGTATCTTGGATATTGGTACAGAAGCTGTTTGGGATATCTTTTTCAATTTCCCGTTACTGCAATGTCTACAGAATGAGTTAATGCAGTGACTAACAATGGTTATCGTGTAATTTCATGTATGCTCAGCAAAGCTTTTGCATGATTTTAGAAACAGTCTTTGGATATGCCTTGTACTTTGTTACCCCAAAAGGATCTTAGCTGTAGTGAGTGAAGTATTATGCACACAGTTGCTTCAGCTGGGAAGGAGACAGGTTTGATTATTCGGTGCATGCCTCAAGTTAACAGACTTATTTCACATAAAACTCTCCACACAGAGCTGCTTAGGCCAGCAATACCTGCCTCTTGTAGCTTCATGCTGATCTCCAGCTCTGTGTTTGGATGGGATCAGGATTACTGACCTTCTGAGGTCCGTACTAGATCAGAGACATCCAGTGTGATACAGCTGAGTACTATCTAAATAATAGGATTATGACATACTATTAGTATAGTAGCGTACGTAGGTGTCTTACTATAAGTGCCTCGTAAGTGTTGTGTTGTACAACATATTCCTTGCCTGTTGCTTTAGCTTTCTAATTTGTATTTTTCATAAATTCTATTTTCTCGTAACTTTTGTTCATACGCCTTTGGAATTTCCCTAATTTTATCTTCTTTTTTATTAGGTGACTCTGAAAACCATTTTTTATTTTAATTTTGCCTTCCACCCTGTTGCAACTAGAAAATTAGATATAGTAGTAAACAGCCCTCAGCTACGACATAGCTAAACAGCTGAATGTCTAGGCCAGGAAGAATCCCTAGTCATACCATACATCATCTTATGTCTGTGAACTCCAGCTTGTCCTATATTCCTAAATATGCTTTCATAGGTTCTGTTGATATTGAAGTTTGCTGACTGCTTGTATTGCTTGTGTTTTTTGTTCCAAAGTATATTATCCACAATGGAGAGGGAGAATAACAAACCAGTGATTAGTATTCTGGAGTGAGATGGTCACACTTACCTCATTCTGAGATATCTTTTGTGCAGACATGTAATGAATAACTATTTTGAATTTCAGAACAGTTTCCTAAAAAGAAAAATGCAAGTTGTTGATTTTAGATTTATGGTTAGGGAAGGTGACTTTTTTCTTCCATGTTTGTGTAGAAAGTTGTGCCATCTGCTCTACATCTGCAAGAGCTTTTGA